GGTCTCAGGCCACCTTGAATTTGCCTTGAAAACCATACCTGGGAACAGAATTGTAGCTACCCTGGGTCCGTATAAATACTATGTTGCTATACCTCTTACACACCTATACAAGTTCAAAGCACGAATGAGACTTCAAAGCTGTGGATTGCTGTGCGTGTGTAGAGGTTCTCGAGCGGTTGACGGAAAGGGAACTTGAAGTACTATACCTGGTAGCTGCACTATAGCTACCCTGGGTCTCTATACCTGGCAAGGTGCCAACTACACCTTTCCATTCAGATGATGCAAATGATGCATTTGGCATTTCTTGCGTCACCACCCCTCAAAAATCACCTCCAACACAACCTCGAAAAACCTTCCCTCGAAGCACCCTCCTCCCCCAGCATGTGCCGAGTTTACGTGTACCTTTCCCGGGCCACCCCCCCAGACCCCCTAACTACTCACTTCGTTCGCCAGACACAACTCCGCTAGCGCCTTCTACAAAGGCTGGCTTTCGTAAAAGTCCAAGGGGTACACTGTGTACACCGATTGAACTAATCATAGAAGTGGAAAACCACCTGTTGGGGCTATGCCATCCACTTCTATGCTTATTTCGGGGAGTGTGCACCTAGACATACCGCCTATAAACCCTAAGGGTTGGATTATGGAAACATATTGCATATGGACCCTTGACTGACCTTCCAAATCCTCACCTGAGTCCCCTTCAGGTGTCCACAGTCGACCACTCTGGTGCAAGCAGAAGCATGCCCACAAGATTGAATCCAGCCCTTGAGCGTGCCCAAAACTAAGGTCAGGCAGGTGGCTTATTTAGTTTAGTTTTAATCCTATAGTCGTTTGCATGTTGCTCTGAAGCTAGCCTGGGTCCGTATAAATACTATGTTGCTATACCTCTTACACACCTACACAAGTTCAAAGCACGAATGAGACTTCAAAGCTGTGGATTGCTGTGCGTGTGTAGAGGCTATCGAGCGGTTGACGGAAAGGGAACTTGAAGTACTATACCTGCTAGCTGCAAGCAAGGTGCCAACTACACCTTTATTTTCAAGGTGGCCTGAACAGAGTGTTTTAGGGCAGCAAACCGTGGTCTCAGGCCACCTTGAATTTAGCTTGAAAGCCACAGCTACATAGCTACCTGAGTCTCTATACCTGGCAAGGTGCCAACTACACCTTTATTTTCAAGGTGGCCTGAACAGAGTGTTTTAGGGCAGCAAACCCTGGTCTCAGGCCACCTTGAATTTAGCGTGAAAACCACAGCTTTGAAGCCTCATGCGCGCCATACCTGGGAACAGAATTGTAGCTACAAGACCTTTATTTTCAAGGTGGCCTGAACAGAGTGTTTTAGGGCAGCAAACCGTGGTCTCAGGCCACCTTGAATTTAGCTTGAAAACCACAGCTACATAGCTACCCTGGGTGTCTATACCTGGCAAGGTGCCAACTACACCTTTGTTTTCAAGGTGGCCTGAACAGAGTGTTTTAGGGCAGCAAACCCTGGTCTCAGGCCACCTTGAATTTAGCTTGAAGACCACAGCTTTGAAGCCTCATGCGCGCCATACCCGGGAACAGAACTGTAGCTACTTGTAGCTACCCTGGGTCCGTATAAATACTATGTTGCTATACCTCTTACACACCTATACAAGTTCAAAGCACGAATGAGACTTCAAAGCTGTGGATTGCTGTGCGTGTGTAGAGGTTCTCAAGCGGTTGACGGAAAGGGAACTTGAAGTACTATACCTGGTAGCTGCACTATGGCTACCCTAGGTCTCTATACCTTGCAAGGTGCCAACTACACCTTTCCATTCAGATGATGCAAATGATGCATTTGGCATTTCTTGCATCACCACCCCTCAAAAATCACCTCCAACACAACCTCAAAAAACCTTCCCTCGAAGCACCCTCCTCCCCCAGCATGTGCCGAGTTGACGTGTACCTTTCTCGGGCCACCCCCCCAGACCCCCTAACTACTCACTTCGTTCGCCAGACACAACTCCGCTAGCGCCTTCTACGAAGGCTGGCTTTCGTAAAAGACTTAGGCGGGTGCGTATTAATATCTTGTGAGAGCGATGGGTGCGTGGGTAACCTTTAGAACATCTGTCGTGGTAGGGCCAGCTCATTGGCAAAGTAGTGCAGATTTCGTGGCGCTCAAGGGGAGGGGGGTTGGGGGGAGGGCGCAGCGCCTCCCCACCAGCGCGAACCAAACATCAAAAGCCATCAGACTCAAAAGGCGCCACAAAATAGATCACCATCGAAACTACACACCCCATTGCCTCATCAATGAAAGGCACTCAAAAAGTGACGCAAGGACCAAGGCAACCGGGTAGCGGATTTGACCAACATTGACCAACGGAGCGTGAGGGCAGCGGACCAGGAAAGGGACCAGGGTACCAAAGGACTAGGGCATGACAGGACCACAAGACCAAAGAACCAGAAGACCAAAGGACCAGGGACCAAAGGACCCTTCCCCTTTGAGTGGGCAAAAGAGCCAGTCCAGGAGACCGAAGGACCAGGGGACCAGCGGACTAGGAGACCAAGGGCCTAGGGGACCACTAGACTCGAAGACTGGTTGATCCTTTATATACTTGTTTTCTTTTTGATAGTGTTAAGGTTTTTCTTTTCATCCTTTACATGTTGAATCATGTGCACTTTTTGATCCAGATGCCCTTGAGGGATGGTACTCTCAACATCAGTTCGTCACGATGTGGGAATGGCTGCCTACTGCTTCACTGTGGATGGAATTGACCCCGTCCCGAGGTAGATGAAACAAAAATATGACTGCACAAAACTAGTAACTAGAACAAAGTCACCTCTTCGCCTTCTACCCACACAACTATTGCCACAACACAGAATCATTCCTATATACTAAAGTGTGTAAGTTACCCAGTCCTCGAATGTTTTACTTGACTCTTGTTCTGATCCATCTTACCCAGCCATGTCGTGCAGGAAACAACGCCACGTCCCCCGCTCCCTCATCCCCCACCGCTGGGTGTCCCCCGCCACGCCAAAGCCCTGCAACACGGCGGTGACCAACTCCTCAGCCGCCTTGCGACCGTGGATCACGTCGTTCACCTCGGGAGCGACCGAAGTCCAAAACGCTGGGGAGCCACCGATGAAGGGTGGACCTTTTGGATCCTTTTGGGTTGATTCAGTTAGAATTCAAGCTTGATGACCTGTGTGATCTTCCACACCCAGCGAGGTCCCCCCAAAAAGAAGAAAAACCTGGACTACCCACCCAGACTGGATCGCAAACACCTCGAACAATGGTCATCTAGGTGTCACTGGTGGGAGTTTCCCCAGCTGAACGCATGGGTCATCCCACCTCGCATCCAAACTGGCCGCGATGTTGCGGATTCCTAGGCCTCCGCACCAGCACAGCCACCGTCAAGTCCAGGCCCGGGAAGTGGGCGAAGACCGGGCCAAAACCGGAGACCACCTGGGCACCGGACTCCCGACGTGCAAACGAAGCAGAGTGACGACCCTTTTTGGACTCAAATGGGTCCATACAGAAGACCTGAGTAGATAGCAGCAAAATGCACCGTCAACCTCAGACCAACCACATCCAACGAGCTTTTGTGGGTGTGTGCCATCTACTTGGGCATCTCTCAACCTACAGCAAGTTGACAAAAGAATCACTGTGGATGACTGAGGAGATCCTGGGCCATGTCAGCATATGCAAAGGACAGCTAAACACAAATAAACAACCACAGTGCAGTGGTTGGAGTAGCTTTCACACACCTACATTATTGGGATCCATGTAAACCACCTGTTTGAACCCGCGTCATCCACTGTAAAATCAAACCTTGTGGGAACTGATTTGACGTGCATCATTAATCATTGTGTCTACATTCTGAGTCTGTTGGGCAGGATATGATCTGGAACCTAAGGTTTGACAATGATTCACCCCGGTATTTCCCAGCTGTTCGCATTTAGTGAAGCCAACATCTCTTATGAACATTGAGACAATACATCAATGCATTTCATTCAAGGAAGTGACCTGGACATGAGGATTTTGTGCCCCACGTGCCGATGTTGGATCGGAACATGTTGGAACATCCAATGCGATCTCTTCGGAGTCAAAGTCAGGTTGTCTCGGCTATGATACAAATTGAAGAACATCTATATAAGTGTCATTGGACGGTGACACATGTCGCATCTCGGCCAAAGCACTCGGACGCTTGCAGCAAAGAGACTCCATAACCACTTTCCTGATAGCCACGTAACGCCTCGGTCGCTCTGGCTAAGGCTTGCCGGGTAAGCCTCGAGCCTTAAGGCATCTTGATCAGGATCTTTTTGTTGGTGGAGATTCTAACAGGGAGGCCCCCCCCTACCTAGCATTGCTATGTGCCAGGGCCTCCCCCGGACTCAGTGTCACTCCCTCTTCGCGTCCGCCGCTCGTCTCAGGGTCCCAACTCTGGAGCCAGTGCCCCGCAAATCGAGGGCCTGAGGCGAACCGAGGGGTAGCCAACCGCCGTGCAGCAAATTTATCCAATCACTTCACTTGGATCCATATGATTTACATTTCCATGAAGTGTATACAGTTTTTTTCTTCATATGATCCACCATGATCCCAAATTATGTATGAAACTTGATTGATTACCGCATCCATCTATGATAATTATTGCTGTTAAGAATCGCAAACATCCAGTGGAGCTACTCCGTTTCATCCAGGTGCTCTGTGTCACCCCTTCGCCACGCCTGTAGTCCACCGGCTGTCCAATGAGTGGCCCCTCCCGAGAGGATCCAGCCCAACACCGTCTTGTCCATGCCTGGCATCGTCTGAGATCTCCAAGCAATGGCATGGCTCCATGGGGCTCGATCGGACTCGATCGGACACCGGATGTTCCAGAAAAAAAAGAAAAGAACTCAGAAACGATGTCCAAGACTGACATGTGTTCCCACCAATTGTCCTCATCATCTATAAATGCACTGTAATGGAGCATGATGCAGGGCGTCCCCAAACGTCTAAGAAAGTCGCAAGCTGCGGACGGCAACGGGTGAGACTTTCACTTTTCAGCAGCCTTACTGCTTGGCCAACTCGGATCCATTCGATCCTTTCAGAAAGTGAGAAGGTGCACCTTCTGATGTTGCCACTTTGAGCCTGAGAACTGAGAACAGTTTTTTCAGGCGGCTTCATATTCTGAAACAAAAAAAACATACAGTAACATTCAAACCCCGCCGTATACTATAGCATCGTCGATCGCGGCTATTCCGCGCCAAAATGCAAAGTTCTACTCGTTCACACTCCCAACCAATTCCTCAGCTGCGAGCGGGCCCCAATGTTGTTGCTTACATCAGCACCGAAAAGAGTTCAAAGCTATCGACAACATGATGTGTGAGATGTTTGTCGTCGCTTCAATTAATCTTGGTGAACTGCCACAGTTTTAGTCAGTGGACTCATTAGTGACACTCACGGCCCCCTCCCATTTCTGTTTGCCACTTTGGAGCAACAGCTAACTAGTAATTATGAGCAGGATGTGCATGCACGTATTAAGTATCTGTGGCGATGATCTTCGGCTTCGGCGTCCAACAACAGCCCTCCGAGGCCCTGCCCCATATGAGTTTCATCCACCTGGAGTGGAAAAAAACACAAGTGACTCTTGAGGCATGAATTTCTTTTGGTGGACGGTGGAGAATGGAAAGACCTTCATATACAGCAGCCGCTCGTTTCGTCCGAGCGACTTTCAATTGGTTTATCTTCAAGTGTCTTGATGCACATATCCACAGATCTGCTTGCTCTGCTTCTTCATAACCGGCAAAATAGAATGTTCACTGTTTTTGCCTGATATGACCACCTGGCGGCTCCAAAGCGAACTGCCAACACATCCAGGGGCTGTGAATTTTTGCAAAGTCTCCGTTTGACTTGGAGCTCACCTCCTCTCCAAAATCCTCTCTTTACGACTCTTCAGAGTCTGAACATCACATCTGCTCCCCAAAAATGTAAGAAACCCTTCATTGCGTTTGGTGACATCTTCGTACTACTTTGGAGCAAGGATGCTACTAAGAGCAAAGGGCATCGCTACTAGGAACAATGTTCGCTATTAGAAACAAGAATTCTTCAATTAAAAAAATAAATAATCTAAATTTAACTCTTCAAGGTTTGGTGGAATTTCTACGCCACATCTTGATACCATGCAAAGCGTAATCATCATTCCGATTCATTGGAGGAGACCCTTCCCAGCAGAAGTCCTGGATCACACACATGGCTCTTCGTCCGTGTTTGCCCAACCCAATTCCAGGTTGTACATGTCTTCCAGCAACTTGGAAGCTTTTGTGACGCATGGCGTGTGGAAGCACACGGCAAGGACTTGCTCAATGAGAAAGGGGCCTATAGGGAGTTGTGAAGGTGGCATCATCCACCACCGCCGCCGGTCGCTTCGAGTCCTTGAAAGTCATTTTGTGGTGACGCACGGTGACACCCAGTGGCTTTGGTCGCCATGTTTTGATTTACCTTCCGTCGCGTGGAGCACGCGATGGTTTGTGTGGTAGGTTGCTGCTGCCATTTCCATGTGAATTGCATAGACCAAATTTGAGGTAAAATTGCAAGAGGAACGGTGGTTTCCACAGCTCAACCACGACGAGTGGTGCAAAGCCGTCGGAGGTTTATCAGATGCCTGTTGTTGCTCAGGATTCACGATTCACCATAAAGATTTTGTTCGTTCTCCTTTGGTGAATCTTCTTCCAACAGCGAGCTTTTTCAGGTTCCTCCTACAACTCTAAGGACGGGAATGATGATTACGCTTTTGCATGGCATCAAGATGTGGCGTACAAATTTCAGTTTAGCAAAGCTTGCAGCATTTCGTGAAGAGTGGTACGAACATGTATGAAGATTCTTCAATATTCTTCAATTGGCTTCACGTGGAGTGAGGCAATGGACAAACAAACAAAACTGAATATTTGGGCCATGCATGACCCATATAATCTTCCAGGAAGATCCAGGCAGCCTCATGAGCGCTTCGCTAGCCGCGCTCCGATCTTCTCAATCTTCTCCAATCGCTCGGGGCGCCGGTGCGTAGCACTCAATCGGACGTCAGTGTGGCGACAGATGCGAAGATTTGGTTTTGGACATCTGCCGGCAGCATGGAGAGGATGCGGTCTTGATTTCGCCTCATCGGCTTCGCAGGACTTGAAGGCGCTTGGGACATTCCCGGGATCATCGAATCGGATGAGATATACTTGGGCGCTAACAAGTGGTATGACCCGGTATCAATCATATGGGGAAACAGTCCGACCCATGCTTCCACATGTGGTCGATCCTCTCCACTTCAACGGGGGTCTTGAGGCTTCAGAACGTCCAACATGTTGCTTCAATCTGGCCTTGGTCGTGCTGATCCCATTCCCAGAGGTTTCCCGCCTGTCTCCCTGTCCGGCTATTCAATTTGCGTGTTTCCCATGGCGTGTCTCCCTGTCCGTCGCTTTCTCCAAGAAAAAACGAATCCCTCGAAAACCTCTCGGCCCAGACGCCCTGCCGGATGCGGAAGGCGCCCAAAGTCTTTGGGCTCGCCATAGACCAACGAGGTCGTCCAGCTCCGGGCACCCATGACCTTCGGAAGCCTGGGCGTCGGTCGTGTCTCGTCGGCCCATGTCGAAGCTTCGTCCCGCTCAGACTGGAGTGGGAGTCCAAAATGATGCGTCGCAGGAAACTGTGTCTCGAACAAAACCGCTGAAACCTGAGACTCTGAACTCAGCCCAGGGTGCATCTCTTGGATAAACTTCTCCTGCGAGGACAATCCACCCCAGAACAGATGAGATTTTTTTGTGGAAATCGTGCCATCTCAAACGACTTCCACTCCTTGAGATCAAGACTAACATAGAACTTTCGGTAACTTGCGGTGCAAATAGTGCATATAGAACATGGCAATTGGAAATGATTACACTGCTTTCAGAATAGATGGCTATATCCGGAAACGAGTAGATGGCACCAGAAAGTGCCAAAAGCGCCTGCGGAAAACCGTGATAAAATAACCATATATACCTATGCATCCTCAAGCATAATAAATGGCATTCCACCCATTCACAGTGTAGACTTGCGCCATCTTCTGCAAAGAACACTGATATAAGTCGTTGATTTTTGTAGACAACCTCTCTGCTAAATTCCAATTGTTTTTAGTTAATGTTCTTCTCTTTGAACTATCTTTCTCTCTCCTTCTTTCATATTCTATCTCTCTCTCTCTCCTTCTCTTCCTTTCTCCTTTGCTATCCTTTCCTTAATGTCTCCTTTCCCTCTCCTTAGCCTTTCTTTTCTTTCCTTTCCTTCATTCACTTCTCCTTTCTCTATCCTTCCCTTGCCTTTCCCTTCACCTTTCCCTTTCCTTGCACTTGCGCTTGAACCAATAACAGAACGCCGCACGATAATAGCCCAGTAGATGGCACAACCCTTGTGTGGAAGATGATTAGGAGGGTTGGGCCAATAGATACTGCCAAGATCTGCCAAGTAGATGGCGCTACCCTTGTGTGAAAGATGATATTTATGGTGGCGGTGGCGCCTATAGATGGCGCAACTCATTTCCCTATCCTTTCCTGTCCTTCTTGTATCTAACATGTTCCTTTTTTT